TACCTAAATGCCAACTTCACGACTCATCCCGGCAGCTGTGCTCTAGTTCACTTGAGTATTCATCCCGCCATTTTGAACTCTCACAAGAAGGCACTGAGAACCCAGACCATGCCCGTGAAGCCCACAGGAGCTCGGGTCCATCAGGGAAAATGGGCTAGAAAACACCATGTCAGGTGATAATGCTGAAAAACAGGGAAGCGGACTCCACTTTAAGTGTGGGAAAGGTTTCAAACAGCATGAGTGGAATAGGGAGAAATTTACCGGAAAGGGGGGAAAAGAGGCAGCATCGGAAGGTAGAGAGAGTAGGAGTGACAGCATTCCAGCCTACGCTAATGTTAACAAGTTCATTCTCCTTGATGTTCTTTTTGTTTTTAATTAAATAGATTGGAATATTCAGTTTCTCTCAGTTATAACCAAGGCGTAAGGTTAGTATTAAGTTCATAATTTGCATCTGTATGGTTTACAAATATATATTTAATTTTGTATTATATACATTTATTTTTAATAGGGCATGGCCCCACTGTATAGACGTTATCTTGTAACTTCTTTCTCTTTCCCAATGGGCGCTGCATTTTGAGCATTTTTCTGTTAATGCTCATCGATCTACCCCATTCCATTCTAGCCCCACATGACGGTCCACTGCCGAATGCACAGGAATTTACTGAACCCTTTTCCTCTTAATGGGCATTTACAACCAGGAATTACAACCAAATGAAATCCTCATAAATATATATTTTCACACTTATCCAAGTATTTATGCTGACAGCATTCCTCGGCTCGAGCCACATCGGCCCACACTGCTGCTCAAACACACCAAGTGCGTTCCTCTCTCGGGACCTTTCCAGTTACTCTTCTTTCTGCTTGGACAGTTCTTCTCTCAGAAAATTACATGACTGATCCTCACAAAGACCTCAGAGAGGTCTTCCCTGGGTTCACCATCTACATCTTCTACATATACCTCCCTCTCTCTCTTCCTTGCTTGTTTTAACTAGAGCGCCCATTACCATCTAACATTGTATCACATATTTTCTTGTTTACTGAGTGTCTCAAGATGAGGAGGCTAAACGGAGGCAAGGACTTTGTCTTATTCACATCTGTGTCTCCAACGCCTCATATGATCTTGGCATACAGCACCCAAAAATAAACTTCAATTAAAGGAAAGAATGAAGCCATGAGCTAGATAAATTGCTGGGTCCAAAGAAATGGCATTTTATGTTAACAGACACTGCCAAGTGGCTCCTCTGGAAGGGTTCCAGTCTCCCCAGTGTTGCCCATTGTGCTTATCCGTGCCAGAATTGGGTTACAGCAACAGGCTTGGTTCTGCTCAGGTTGGATCATTAATGAATTAGGGAGGGGCAGTATTTTTTTCTAGTTCCTTGCAAATTTGCATCTCCTGTTGAATGCATGGCCCCTGCAATCCCCCCCCCTCATTTTCCTACTGACCCCTGGGAGATCTTTCTATCACATGATTATTAACTTTTAATATGACAAAGATTTTTCTTAAGCAACTTCTCGGGCTCCCTTATGCCATAGGGAATTTGTTATTATTATTATTTTTTTAATGAGGCCAAATCTGCAGGTCTTTCCTTCCACGATCATTTTTAATTTGGGATGAATCACGGTGCAGACCATTGTGTTTGATGGAAAAGTCTCTGAACAGAGAGTTCACTCAATAACCACAACAATGGTAAGATTTTGAACTGAGTTGTGATTCTAAGAACAAGATAAGGTGTGCACTATGAGTGCCTTGATTCTCCCATTAATGAATGCGTACCTTGGGGATGGCTGTTTTACCTTGTGTCTGTTCGAATTTTTTCCTCTGTTAAGTGCAAATCAAATACCTTGCCCCGCTCACCTCTCAGAAGCTCTGCAGGGGTTGAATGAGATGGTGAATCTCAAAGAACAGAAGGTTCTACCCTGGTGCAGCATTAGGAAGAGGAGAGAACAGAGTAACAGATATCTAATGACAGAACACTCAGCCCCAAAATTGTTTTGCATGTCAATAAGAAGAAGAAAGAGACTCTTCTAAAGAAAATTAGTTTAGTGTTTACCTCAAAATAATCACTCAAGATAACCAATAAGCCTGCTCTAATCTTCTTGCATAGTAGAAAAGAACACAGGCTTTAGAGTCAGGTGACATCACTTCTAATCCTGCTCTATCCCTTCCATTAATTCAACTGTCTTGGGTAAATGTCTTCATCTCTCTGAGCTGCTGTTTTAATACTTAAAAGAGAATTTTGAAAGTTCTGTCTCACAGTTTCAATAAAGATAAAATGAGATTTTTGTGAAAGCGTCCTATAAGCTTTATAAGAATGGAAGTTAACTTGTTATTATGATAATTATTAAAGTCATCATTTTAAATGATGGCCACGATATCCTCTATAAGACAGCGAGCATGTGTGTTGTGTCTGTTGTTTATCAGTTCTGGGATTAAATCTCAAGTGTTATTTCTTCTTTGTGAGTTCTTAGTTGTTTTGAGACTTCTGTGTTCCTGTATTTGTAGAAGAAATAGATCAGCCTATTTTAACTATGGTAAATCATGATGATTAGCATCTACCCATTCTAATTACACACATCCAGTAATATAAACTCAGGAATCTGTGGGGACCTTCCCCCTTATCTCGGGGTCACGAATGAACATTTCTGTAAGAATTATAGAGGAAAAAATATATGTGACATTCTTTAAGGTATTCTCAGTACGTTTAAGTTAACCTCAGGATGAAGTACCACAATCATTTCCCACATTTAAGGACCCATTTATTTCATGTAACTAAAATACTAAATTATAAGAACTGAATTAAGTGTCTGAAAAGAAATTGATAAGTAGATGATTCATTAACATTCTCCAAGTAAGGTTCTAAATTATAATGGGCTTTAAAAATGTCACGTGTCTTTTGTGAACTTATTTTTCAAAAAAGTGTGAATCCAAAAACTGATTAACTTTTTCACCTTATTTTTAGAATTACTACTCATTCTCAGAGAAAATTCTTTTTGGAACTCATACATATTTGACAGGGACAGGATTTATAAACTGATGCGAATTTGGTCTTTCTCCCTCCTGGTACCTACCGAACAAACGCTGTCTTTGATCCTTGACTTCTCCCCTTTCTCTGACTCCTGTGGGGAATCCCCATCTTCACCTTCCTGGACCCCAGATCTCTTGTGGTAAAGACGCAGAGACTGAGCAGATAAAGAGAAGCTCAAAGAAGGAAGTGACAGGTGGGCAGGCACGGAAGTAGAGAAGCCAAATCTTTGCCCAGGAAGTGCAGGAGGGAAAGTGGAAGGAGGGGAGGAGTGGTGGGGGGTCAGCTCAGACGTTCTGGTCTGGGTTTCTGAAGCTGGGGCTGGTGACACAGCAGGGCGGACATGTGAGCAGCTGGAGAGTCAAGTGCAAGGACTGGAAAACAGCCTTTCGAGAAGTTTCGCCACAAGTGTAATAGAACGGCCCTTCCATGGTCATTGAGAGGCGGGAAGGAAGAGTAGAATTGTTTCTTGAAGATGTTAGCTCTTCAGGCAGGCAGCTTCTGATTGGAAACTGGTATCAAACCATACGGTGTCTCCAAATTCATTAGGGCTGCATTTTAAAAAAGATACCTTCGAGGGCGCCTGGGTGGCTCAGTTGGTTAAGCGACTGCCTTCGGCTCAGGTCATGATCCTGGAGTCCCGGGATCGAGCCCCGCATCGGGCTCCCTGCTCGGCGGGAAGCCTGCTTCTCCCTCTCCCACTCCCCCTGCTTGTGTTCCCTCTCTCGCTGTGTCTCCCTCTGTCAGATACATAAATAAAATCTTTAAAAAAAAAAAAAAAGATACCTTAGAGTCGACTGCTCCGGGAGTATCAGCGCTGATCACTCCTTCTTTGTGTAATGCTTTTTTTCTCTGGGCTTCCAGAACACTGCATCTTCTTGCTTGTTCTTCAAGCGAGGCTCTCCTTCACCTCTAACTGTTGGAGGGTCCTGAGGCTCAGTGCTTCTATCTGCACCCGGTCTTCACCATCCATGGGTGATCCCGTTCAGTCTCACGGTTTTCAAAGCCAGGTGGCTTAGCTTAGGTTCCTCTTAAACCAACTTCATTCTCATGACCTCCCCCCAAGAAGAGGAGAAGCGCCACAGCTCTGAGGTGACGCGAAAGGTGTTCTGCATGCCCCAAACTCTCTCTCTTGCTCTCTCTCCCCGGCCGGTTCCCAAATCACAGTTGTCCAACATGCATAGGTTCCTGTTGGCATTCCTTCCCATCAGAGCAAAAGGGTCTGTCTCCCCATACCCCAACCCACCTACACTTTTAAGTTTCAATTCTATGATTTTTTTTTTTGACTAGGTAACATTTGCAGATTGCACACAAATTTAAAAGGTGCAAAGGAGCGCACGGTGAGAATTCTCCTCACCCAGGCCCAGCCATTCGTGTTTTCCTCCTCAGAAACACGAGCTTCGGTCTCAGCCAATATGGCAAGTGGAAAATGATAGCTGACTAAATAAATCTATTTAAAGAATGAATGAATGAATGAATGAATGAATGAATAAAATGTCAAGGTGTTCACATAAATCTTTTAAAAATATCTTTCCTTCTCCATTCCCCCACAAGTTGATCCTACAGGAATTCCACTGCCAAAATTCGACTCAGTCAGGACACTGTGACCCATGAGATGTCCCTGTAACCTCCGGGCTCCTTAGAAGACAGTTTCAAAACCACTCCTGTGGAAAAGGGAGCGCACAAATGTGACAGTGTGGTAGAAGCATTTCAGGGAAGACTCGGAGAAGGGGTAGGGCCTGGACTAAGTGAGGATGAACGTAAGAAAAGGCACATGTTTTCAAAGGTGTCAAGGGACTTAGCACTTAACTGACATTTCAAGGCAGGAGGGAGAGAAGAAGGAGACACGTAAACAGTGCGTGTTGCCGGCGGGAGGAAGAGCAGGTGGGAGCCACAGACTGTCTCAGGTGCCTTTGCCATCAGATCAGCAGCGGCAGAGTGCCTACCATTCACGAAACAAATACATTTCTAAGTAGTTTATTAACCTTCTCTAGGGTAATGATCACAAGAGTAGGTAGGCGTTGTTCTGTGCCTTTATTCAGACGGGGTAACGGAGTCCAGGCAGGCATGACAAGGGAGGAGGGTTGCCCATGTTCACAGCCGATAGCTGGCTAGTCAGCAGAGGGTTTGAAACAAGACAGGAATGCGATACATGAAAGCCCCCCATAGGGACAGGCTCGTCTCACTCTCTGGGTTGCCTTCTAGGTATCGTTTGCCTTCTATTTTCTTCCCTTTGTTCTTCCTTCCCTATAAAAAGGACTGTGATGGGCGTGCTTTGGAGGAGACCCTGGAAAGAAGGAAAAGAGCTGCTTGGATCTGCCTGGGAAGATAACTCAGGTTTGCCGACTTAATATTGGCTCCTGGGACATCGGGGAATTTGAAGAGTAGAGACCCATCCATTCGTCCATGAAGCAAATGTCAATGGAGTACCCACTACGTCAGGCGCACATGCGCAATGGATAATTCTCATGCTAGCCTCCCCCTGGTTCTCCCCTTCACACAGGGTGTGAGACAACTGGGGAGGGAGGTATTGAGGACTTACTTCATTCTAGAATGACTTAGAGCCTCACCTGCAGGTTGATGCACCTCATTGCCTGGCTGTCCACAAGGATGCCTACCTGTTGCACAAACCGAATCCCCCACATTTCTCCAGGGTGATGATACAGGACCCCACGGGTGGTCTTAGCAGCTTATTTAACACACGGCTTTGTGTGGGCTTGGGGCGTTGGCAGGTGGATATGCATGGAACTTCCTCCCTGAGATGTCCCCAGGTCTGTGATTGGGTTTTTTTTTTTTTAAGATTTTATTTATTTGATGGAGAGAGAAGACACAGTGAGAGAGGGAACACAAACAGGAGGAGTGGAGGAGGGAGAAGCAGTCTTCCCACTGAGCAGGGAGCCCGATGCGGGGCTCGATCCCGGGACCTTGCGATCATGATCTGAGCCAAAGGCAGACGTTTAACGACTGAGCTACCCAGGCACCCCTGTGATTGGGTATTAAAATGAGGGGTAACTATATCATTCCAGGCTCAAAAATGGGAGATGTTATTTTCTACTGGATGGCTTAAAGAAGGAAGTTTCCACGGAGAAGGTGGCATATGTGCTGGAGTAAATTAGTAAGTAAACAAAGAAGCCAATGAACTAACCAACACTTGGTGTGAGGAGAAGGGCACTCCAGGTGTTGAGCCTGTTACAAGCATGAGATGAGAAGGAGCAGGCATTATCTAAAAAGGCAAAGAAAGTCTGGAGGCACCAAAGTCCTTCTTGGCCGCTATTCCCGCTTTGCCCAGGAAAAGCCCAGATCCTATGGAAATGTGAAAGCTTGCAGAACTCAGCCAAAGCAGCTTCAGGGACTGAGGTGTTCCCTGGAGCACCATCTTCTGTTGATGACGTAGTTGCTTTTACGATTGCAACTTACAAGAGGCTTGTGGGCCCCTCCCACTGCGATGCAGAGATTCTTCAGTCTTGAAGGGGGCATACACTGAGCTGCAACGTTGCTTTGGGTTGTTTGTGGAAGGTTAAACTATGTAGTCACCCTGAAGCCTGAAATTCACAGCTAAGCTCTGCCACCTTGCTGTCTGAAACAAACAGCTTGTTCTTCAGTGGGAAGGCAAGAGTGAGATCCTTCCAGGACTTGACTGACTCCTGGTTCCAGCCGGCTTCCTTTTTCTCAAGGCTCACCACCTACACACCTGTATTTTCAGGTCCACCCTGATTCCCCCGCCAATCACAATGCTAGGGACAGAACTGAGTACTCCACACACACACACACACACACACCCCTTTGTGGCCATCAGGCCTAGTCCTAGCACCTGGACCAAAGTCATGCCATCTTGGTCTCTGTTCCTATATGGGAAATCATGCCAACTAGCCCTCGCCACTGGGTACCCGGAATTCCTTCCCTGGGATCCAGAGTCCTATCCTTGAACTAGATCCCTACTTGTTGCTAGACCACCTGGATACAAGCCTCACTTGTTTCCTGAAGGTACAGCTATCATGGTCCCTGCCATTCACTAGGCGGGCTCTCGAGAGGCGCCGAGCTGAACATTGCACAAAGTCAGCTGATGTTCATTCCCCAGAACTGCCCCTGTGAAACAGGCACGATAATCACCCCCATCCAGCTTAGACACAAAAGCAAATACGAAATCAAGAAGGGAATAATTGTGGCCTTTTAGTTTCATTACACTTCAACTTTTAAGTGGGAGGAAATTTAATTTTGAGACTTTAATCTTCCATACAAAAGTAATAATGGGGAGAAGTTTGTGTTGCTCAAATTGGTTGTATTTGATGTTGCTGGCCTTGCATGATTTGGAATATTTTGTCATCACTGGGCCCACTCCACACCTATGGGTCATTTACAATATTCAATGTGCTGAGCGTATTTTGAGATAGAAAACAGAATAAGGAATGGATTCTTTGTGCAAGGTGCATTGTGAACTTTGGGTTAATTCAGGCAACATTCTCTTCTGTGACATTTGGTCAAACAGAATTCTGAGTGTTTCTGGGAGGGTGTTTTTATTTAAGGCAGTAGACTGAGTCCTCCCTAATGTGGGTTGGTCTTATCCAATCAGTTGAAGTCCTGAACAGAACAAAAGTCTGACCCAAATAAGAGGGAAAGCTTCTAATGGCCTTTGAACTGGGAAATCAGTTCTTTCTAATGGCCTTTGAACTGGGACATTAGTTCTTTCTGGTTCTATAGCAGCCTCTGGCCTTTGGACTTGAACTGGGACATAGGTTCCACAGATTTTGGACTTCTCACCCTCCATAATGCTGTGAGCCAATTCCTCATATATCTTATAATTTATGTATATAGGTATATTTTTATATATTTATAATATATAAATAAACTCATGTTTATTACAGACTCATATATATACATGGTTCTCTTTCTATGGAGAATCCTCATACAATGTTGAATGAAAAGCTTTGATTTTTTTATTTATATGCACTTCTTATTTTTTTTAAAGACTTTATTTATTTATTTATTTGAAAGAGTGAGAGAGAGAAGGGGAGAGGGACCACAGAGGAGAGGGAGAAGCAGACTCTCTGCTGAGCAGGGAGCCCGAAATGGGGCTCAATCCCAGGGGCCTGAGATCATGACCTGAGCTGAAGGCAGACGCTTAACAACTGAGCCACCTTGGCGCCCCTATATGCACTTCATAATCCCAATTTATCCCCACATGCATGGTTCTCCTTCCCCTGATAGTCTGCAAGAGCCCTCCTGATGTGGTGATGAGGTGTGAGGAGTAGGAAAGCAATCTAGGGGCGCCTGGGTGGCTCAGTCAGTTAAGCGTCTGCCTTCGGCTCAGGCCATGATCTCAGGGTCCTGGGATCGAGTCCCACACTGGGCTCCCTGATCAGTGGGCAGCCTGTTTCTCCCTCTGCCCCTCCCCCCTGCTCCTGCCCTCTCTCTTTCAGATAAATAAATAAAATCTTAAAAAAAAAAAAGGAAGCATCTATAGATCTAAGATTGGGTCCCAGTCCTTTAGTGAGCCTGTGTCCTTAGGCTGGGACTTTCACCATGTTTCTCAGTTTTATTGTTTTGATTCCCCCTCTTAGGAAGGACAGAAAGTTTAGAGGGTGCTGGAGTTGGTGCTTCCATTCCTCCAGATCAGTTAGGGTCTAGCAAACTCCCCGGTAGGTCAGGCTCTGCTTCACCAGTTTCTCTTGAGGCAGGCCTTGTTAAGAAGAACAAATGCCCTGGTGTATTTCAACATGGTCACTTATCCCTTTCCCCTCCCTGAAGCTTCAGGGGGTTTTCCTCCAATATTCACTATGAGACCCTGACAGGGCTCCTGGAGGTAAAATTCCCAAAAGTGGGAGAGCCTCCCCTACGATCAGGGCTCTCCTGGGGATTTTATGGCTCAGACTTGTCCACACCGAGCCTCTAAAACTTCCATCAATTACAGGTTAGGTTTCCTACCCTGCCTAGTACCAGTATGGGGTTCTGTGAAGTTTCTGCTGTGGACATTCTACTCCAGTAAGTTGTAACTCTAGGTAGCCACCTGGCCATCTTTTCAACTTGGGGACCGACAGTCTGCCCTATGACCTCAGGTCTCTGATGGATCTAAGAGCTGATTTTCAATTTGCTCATCTTTCTTTGTGTGACCATGAGAGACAACTTCCAAGCTGCTCCCATACCTAACTGGAAACCAGAAGTCTGCATTTGTTTATCATTTAAATAACTCTGCCAGCTAAAGGAGGCTGGTCACATTATGCCCTGTTTATAGATTTAAAAACTGAGATCCAGAGAGAATACTTTGCTCGCCAGTCATAAGGCTGATAACTGTTGTCCAAGCTAGCATGGAAGTTCAAGTGTCTGATCGGAAGTTCAGGGCTTTTTGTGCTGAAACAAGCTGAAACGTCACCCATCACCTGCTACTGGAGTGACACCGTATCCATCATCTAAATTTGTTCCATCTCAGATTTTGCAACTGTGAAATGTTTAAACCATTAAACACACTTTGTAATTTTATATTATGTCTAAACAATGCTTATATTCCACCCAGGTCTCCCGGGGAAAGGGATGGCTTGCTATCATGCAGCTAAGTAGCGTTTTCCTCCAAATATGCAGCTTTAATAATGTGATGAGGCAATTTATAAATGGAAGTCCCTGTGTCTCATGGGCATGGGGGGGAAGGAGTGACGGGCAGTAAGGTGGGAGCAGGAGCAGAGCCCATTAACCCAGCTCAGCCCACCTCTTAAATGGCCATGACGTATGGCACTGCCTGGCAGCCTTGGCTTTCTTTTTTTTAATCATTAACCTTGCAAGCAAAAGTCTTCTTATTTTAATCTTCAAGGTTGCAGCAAGTCTTCCCATCTGTAACTGCTTGGTTCCCAGATGGAAGCCAACAGAAGTTCTCTCTGCTGTCAGCCCAGACACATGATGCCTTTGACAGATCTCTTGCTAAAAACAGAACTTGCTGTTTCCAAGGAGCAATGGAAGGGACACTGGAAGCAGAATGCCACTTCCAGAGGGTGTGAAGACCACACACAGATGATCTCGGCATGTGGGTGCCAGCTGTGGAGGCGCTGGGGACAGGCTGAGCTGAGAGCTCTGGAGACAACTAGTGGAAGAAGGAACAGACCTGAGTTTGAAGTGAGGGTGTGTGTTTGGGTTCAAATCCTGACTCTGCTGTCTGAGAGCTGGATGGACTCTGGGCAACTTGCCCTTGAACTTCATCCCCTCATCCATAAAGTAGGGATAGCAATGCCCAAGTCACAGGTCTTTGCCAATATTTGAAAAAAGTGCAGTATCTATAAATGTCTCCTTCCTATCTTCTTCTTC